GAAAGACAAGGCCAAAAATTTGAAGATGTTGAAAAGGGAGAGGCACACTTTGGTGGTCCTTATCTTATTCTTTGTCACACTGGTCCATTGTGTTAATGGGAAGCACTTTGTGCTGGTCCATGGAGCCATTCATGGTGCATGGTGTTGGTACAAAGTGGCTAATCAGTTGAAATTAGCTGGTCATAATGTCACAACTCTAGACATGGCTGCTTCTGGCATCAATCCAAAGCAAATGCAAGAGATTCATTCAATTTCAGAGTACCATGAACCCTTGATGAAATTCATTGCCTCTCTTCCTCCAAATGAAAAGGTGATTTTGGTTGGTCATAGTCTTGGTGGGCTATCTGTGTCTATTGCTATGGAAAAATACCCTCAGAAAATCTCTGTTGGAGTTTTTGTCACTGGGGTTGTTGTCTCTCAAAACTTCACTTACCAAGCTTTTCTTAAAGAGGTACTTTTCTCTCTAGTCCCATATTTACATCTGATAATCAATACCCACTAGCTGCATGTTTGCTTCAACTTAGTTTGGACAAGTAGTTTGTTTAATTTTGGTATATTTAGATAAATAGTTTAATTAATTATGCACTTATTTAACAATTTTTTATATAAAATTCATGTCATTATTTTGATCATAAAAATTATTAGAATAAATTAAAAAATCCTTATTTTGATAAAAATATATATATATATATATATATATATAAATTAATTAATTAAGTTAAAAGAAGCTTATAAGAGTTCTAACTTATTTTGTAAATTTTATATAAACTCTTCAAAATGTGCTTTTAGAAAACTTTAAAAGATATTTTTAAAAATTAATTTGTTTGAGGTTTAACTGTATTTTTAACTTTTTTAACTTTGGATTATTTACAATTTAGTTTTTTAAAATAATTATATTATGTTTTTGTTTTTAAATTAATTATATTTGTTTATTTAAAATTATATATAAATATATATATCGATTCAAACCGAAAGGAAGCATACCAATCTACCCTATTGAATTTAAATTGTGTTTGAGAAACTGTAGTTAGAATGAACGTAGCACACAAAACTGCTTGAAACGACTTTCATCTTTTGTTATTTGTCATTTGAATCCATTAAAGCACTACTTTTTATATGGTATAAACATATCGAAACACTTTATTAAAATAGTATTGTGAATATGGACAATTTGAGAAATTTTTGCTTCAATCGTGCAGCGAAGAAGAAGATTGGGCTCCATTTTAGACATTCAATATTTCATATTTAATGGAACCAACAATCCTCCCATCCTCTCATCGCTTGGAGTGCAATTCTTAACATCCAGATTATACCAATTATCACCATCTCAGGTAATTACATTTTCAAATTAATTTGAATCCATTGCTTTCCCTATGTTACATATTTTGATTTTAACTGTGCATGGTGTATATAATCACGCAAGAAGATACATATTTAGTTTTAAATGTAAAAATAAAAATTTCATGAATTAAAAGAGGAAGAATTGTGAGTTAGAATATATCAAGGTCATCATAATTTCTTTTTTAAAGAATATAATTCTTAATATATAACCGTGATACATTTAGTATAAATAGATTATAATTATGATGAAGCAATTATTTAAGATTGGCTAAAGGTCCCTTATTATTAGATGATCACACTCGGATCTCAACTATGTGAAAGTAATATATATTATCATGTCTTATATTTCCTCTTCCACCGGTATTAAATTAGAAAAACTTAAATACCTTTTTTATTTTTATATTTTTGAAATTTCAATTTTAATCTCTTTAATTATTTTGTTTTAATTTGAATTTTTATAAATTTATTACTTTTAGTCTCTAATGATGATGTAACCCTCAAAAAGTAGTACATAACAACCTCTTAGTTATTCACATTATTATTAGGGATCAAAAGTGATGAATTTATAAAAAAAAAATTGAAACTAAAATCAATTTAACAAATATCTATAGTCAGAATTTCATATAAATGTAAAGACTACAAACATATTAAATCCTAGACAAAAATAATGTAAAAAATTTGACTCCTACTCTCTTTTTTGCGAAGAGTTTTACTATACTAGACACTGTCTTTGATCCAGAGTCATTTGAGCAATCCGAAAAGCCATAATTTGAAAAGTAAAATGTTACAATTCAAATAAAACCGTAGACACTTGATTAACTTTTTTAATTTTTCTAACATACACTTATTTTATTTTTTATATACTTTATTTTTTGTATATATGTACAGTGTAGTGTTCCTCCAGGATTAACAAAGAGCTTTACTTATTATTGAAGCAAATTAAACCTAATTATTCATTCATGCAGGATTTGACGCTTGGTTTATCTTTGGTGAGACCTTTACCTCCCTTTGCAAATGATGTTAAATTATTGGCAGAACAAACAGCTGTTACAAACAAGAAGAATGGAAGGGTATCTAAAGTCTTCATCATCAGTGAAAAAGACAATTTGATAAACGAGGATTTTCAAAAGTGGATAATTGAGAAAACAGGTCCATATGCTCAAGTGAAAATGGTAGATTCAGATCATATGGTGATGTTCTCCAATCCAAAAGAGCTTAGCTCCGAACTATTAGAGATTGCTTACAAATATTAATCTTTAAATTTTAATGTAATGTGCATCATGAAAATAAAGAATGTTTACTACCATGTATCATAAATTTAAAGGAGTATTTTCATTTTTTTTTCAGTAATAAATTACTACATATTTCTAATAATAGTTATGGTTGCTTTACTATATGTCAGATTTTAATTGATAGTTAAATCTTGTTATGATTAAGACATAAGGTTTGAATTTTTAATTAATTACATGTGTTTATGATTCAATTTTTTGTTGTTGTTTTGTATAGTTATTTTGTATATTTAATACATAGGACAATAATTTTTATTATTAATGTGTAATTTTTTTACTTTTACATTTTATATAATCGCAAAGGTGTATCAGTACCCACGTTACATTATGTGTCACGAAATGTGAATCCACTTTCAAAAACAAAAATCATATTTACTTTTAATTAATTAAATGATCAACTTGTTAAATAAAAAAAAAATTAACTCTCATTTTATTCATTGAACATTTACAATATTAACATATAATTTACATCATCTTTAAATGTTATATAAGCCATGAGTGTTTATATATAGTCACATTATCTTAAATTTGTGTAATGTGAATTTTTTTAAAATAATTATTTTAATTTAATTTTAGTCATACAATAGTTTATAACATAAATTTGTAGTCTTCTTCTGTATCTTTAAATTTTATTTATCAGAAAAAATCATGTATGGACATGTTATCTTTTATTATATGTGTTGTGAATTTATTTTAGACTAAACTCTTTATTAAAAATTTGTCATCTCATAAACTCTTATATGTACTATAACTATTTGACTTTGTTTTATTTACTGCAATAGGAGACACACAAGAGTAGAAACAAAAAATGTCAAGTAAAAGTAAGTTTTTAAATACTTTTTTCCCTTCAACTTTAAATCTAAATGATTGCATCTTGTGAATAATTTTGGCTCTTCCAAAAAATTAAATAATAAAAATTATTGTAACAAAAAAATTATTCAAGGCTTTTAATGTAGAAAATAATATATGCTGCAAAATTCATAAATAACATTTTTTATAAATATTTAATAATTTTTGCAAGAAATTTTGTAAAACAAAACCTAAATTTTAAGTAGTGAATACATTAGGAGTGTAGTGATTCAATTTCCATCCATTCCAATATATTATTTATTTCCACATCTTACTTGATTTTTTCTCAATACTGATTTCTTTAAGTTTGAAACGGGTTATTTAAATTTTGTTTACTAGAAATTATTTTGGTCAATACTAAAACGCATTTGACACTTCACTTCAACTTGTTGTTTAACTTCAACATTTGAGTATACAACTTGGATCACATCATATTATTGTAATGTATAGTCTCCGTTTTGGGATAAAATTGGATGAAAAGGATAAGAGGATTCGTAAGCTTAAAAAATATAGAGAAAGAAGAAATGATGGAACTCAAAGCATTTAAAACAAATGAGCAGAGTGAATGTTATTAAGTGAAATCGATTGTTGACTTGATACTTTTGTTGGTGATTCTATTTATAATAAATAAAGGGATACAAAATAAGCTTATATTTATTACATAAATACAAAAATAAGAGTACTTTTGTTTAGATAAAAGTGACAATTTTCAAGTTTTAATTAAAACATGCTACTCTGAGAGTGAAGCAAACATTTCTCCTTAGGCAACTAACATCCATTTTGTTGCATGTTACTACAACTGGTGTATATTCTACTCTTTAGAAATATACAACTTCACATACAGTGCTTTGGATCTGCATTATACCTGTCATACATTTTGTGAAGGAATCTGTGTATTTTTTTTCATTTCCTATGGCTCTTCGTTTGGACTTTTCTTGCAATTTGCTTTTATCCTAAGGTTTCAAACAATTACTTTGCACCTGGGTCAGGTCGTAATCTTGGTTTAGATTGACTATTGGGTTGTTGTTCCGAACAATTTACTCCATGTGCTCTTAAATTAATTTTCATATGCATGGTTGCCCTTGAGTGTGCCCTTTTCTTTTTTGAAAATTTGAATTTCCCATGCACATTTTCTATTGGAAAACTTTGGTCTCTATATTAAATGCTTGAGGTAGAATTTTGTAAAAAAACTTACCCTTGTCTTTATTAGACGCGTTTACTTTCTTAGATAGTGCCTAAAAAAACTTTGCCCGTTTTAATTCGCTCCATTAAATGTCCTTATTCTATTTAATACCCTCTTCTTTTAAGGTCCCCTTTTATGAAACCTACTCCTTCTTTTTGCTTAGTTGTCCTAGCCTTCTCTTTACCCTATGCACTCATGATTTCTTCTTCTTCTTCACTTCCAAAATGATGTCTCCTCAGGAACTGGTTCTGATGAGCTCCCTTCCAACCCAATTCTGACTGTTTTCAGCATTTGCCCCCAACTTTCTTCTACTTGCTTAAGCCACAGAATGTCCTAGGATGTTGCTTAATGTGCCTTTCTATAAGCGTAATTTTGATCCTCCTCCTCCTTTAGGTGGTGACTTCATTTCTATCGGCCCATTGGGGACACCTGCAACAGATTCTCGGGTTCACCTTTGTTATGGTTCAACATAAATGCCTTCTTTTGTCATAGGTCCTTCTTTGCTCCACTCACACCTACTTCACCAAGACTTATGCACTCATATGTCAAATCTGCTTCAAGGAGCGTCACTTTACATTGCAAAGTGCGATCTTGGTATCTTTTGATGAAGTTAACTAGTGCTTTTTGGATTTTTTGCTTTATTTGCCCCAAGTCTGTGAGTGACTACGAGAACTCTTTCAATCACAACACCTTGTCACTTCAGTATATTCCCAAATCATTCCCAAATCGATTTTGTTGCAGCATGTTGGAACTGGTGCATTGACTTTTGCATAAAGCTAGATGCTTCTCATCATATTTGAAAGTTTCAAGTTATGCACTCTAATAATGAACGGACTTATTATATCCTACTTCTTAGGAATATACAACTTTGTTTCATATCAGCATTATACCCACCATACGTCTTGTGAGAAAATATGTGTATTTTTTTCTGTTCTTATCGCTCTTTGTTTGGACTTTTTTTTTTTTTGCAGATTGTTTTCATCCTGAAGCTTAAAACAAGTACTTTGCACTTGGAGGTGGTCATAATCTTGATTTAGATTGATTATTGGATTTTTCCAAACAGTCTGTAGATTAAAAATCATGCTAACTATTATAAAAAAAATTAAATTCTAACCTTTTCTTTGGTTTACAATATTCAAATAACTCGAAGCGTACCTTCTGAAGTCCCACGAATAACTTTTGTATAAATCAATAGACATACACTCTATATAATACTTCTTTAAAGGATTGACTTTATAGGGATGCTGCATCTTCCTATAAATTAATCGCTACAAGAGATTTTGCTGTCTGCAAATGGGTTCTTTGGGAAACAAATTAATGATATGAACATAAATCAATTCAATAGAATGATTACGCACAAAACAATAATTAGATAACATTTAGATGTTAGTTTTCAATGAAGATTGAAATTTCACTTCCATGATTTATGATATATTAAATATAATTCTAATTTTAATTAGTAAATAAAATAAACAGAACTAAAAAATAACTAATAAGTTTTATCCAAAATAACTAACTTAGAACTACTGCATATACAGGACCAGATAATCTATAGTTCTATCAGGAATATCATTCTATGTTTATTTTATTCTCTTTAATTTCTCTTCCCTTATTTTCATTTTTATCCAAATAGAATGATGAAGTTTATTTTTAAAAACAATTTAAAGTTAAACTTTTGTCATTAAATAAATAAATTCAACTTAATTTATTTAATAAATAAGTTTGAAAGTAACCAAAGTCTGATATAAATTAGATTATAAGTTTCCAACAACTAACTTGTTTTCCAAAAGTCTTGTGTTACAACAAATCATCGCTGGAACCACGATTCAGAAACCTACTTTCATCTTTCAAAACTTTACCTTATGTAACAACAAAAACAATCGCTGCAACCACGATTCAAAACATCACTGAAAAAGAAAACATCATGAAGAAGAGAGAAATTTTAAGATGTGACATAAATGAAGTCTATGATCACAAGAAGTTTCAGATATAATTTAAATGTTAATAAAATGTATAGCGTGCAAATAAAATTGATACAGGATGTGATTCCAAAATCTATAATCCTGATATCAGTAATAGAAATAATTACTATTACACTGAAAAGTAATTGCACCTAATGCATAGTGGATTGGAAAACTTATATAACATACTAGATGACCTAAGAAGGCTCCTTCACCTTGTGAGAAATGAGTGCATTTTACTCAAATTTTGAAATTAGCTTTGTATGGCTTGACTTTCATCATGAGCTAGTTATGTACAAGTACCTACTCCTTTTATTTTTTTTTCATCCCGTGCTGCAGAGGGTATATTATATTATATTACATTGCATTATATACATATATACATATATATATATATATATATATAGTAAATAAATTATTTATGAAGTCAACAAATATATAATTAAACAATTAATTATTCTAGGGAAAAATAACGTATTTTAGTAGACATATGTGTATAAAAAGACCAAGACTCGGTATTTCTAGCAAAAACCATCAACAAATTAAGGAAAGAGAAGGCCAAAATTTTGAAGATGTTGAAAAAGGAGAGGCACATTTTGGTGGTCCTTGTCCTATTCTTTGTCTCACTGATCCATTGTGTTAATGGGAAGCACTTTGTGCTGGTCCATGGAGCCATTCATGGTGCATGGTGTTGGTACAAAGTGGCTAATCAGCTGAAATTAGCTGGTCATAATGTCACAACTCTAGACATGGCTGCTTCTGGTATTAATCCAAAGCAAATGCAAGAGATTCATTCAATTTCAGAGTACCATGAACCCTTGATGAAATCCATTGCCTCTCTTCCTCCAAATGAAAAGGTGATTTTGGTGGGTCATAGTCTTGGTGGGCTATCTGTGTCTATTGCTATGGAAAAGTACCCTCAGAAAATCTCTGTTGGAGTTTTTGTCACTGGGGTTGTTGTCTCTCAAAACTTCACTTACCTAGCTTTTCTTAAAGAGGTACTTTTTCTCACTATATTTACATCTAATAATCAATACCCACTAGCTGCATGTTTGCTTCAACTTAGTTTGGACTAGTTAGTTTAATTTTGGTATGTTTAGATAAATAATTTAATTGATTATGAACTTATTTCATAATTTTTTATATAAAATTTCATGTCATAATTTTGATAATAAAAGTTATTATGATAAATTAAAAAATGCTTATTTTGATAAAATATATATAAAAAATTAATTAAGTTAAAAGAAGCTTATAAGAGTTCCAAGTTATTTTGTAAATTTTATATAAACTCTTCAAAATGTTCTTTTAACAAAATTTAAAAGATATTTTTAAAAATTAATTTGTTTGAGATTTAACTGTACTTTTAAATTTATTTAATTTGGATTATTTACATTTATTTTTTTAAGTTTTTTAAAATAATTATATTATGTTTTTGTTTTTAAATTAATTTTATTTATTTATTTAATATATATATATATATATATATATATATAAGACTCCTCTAATGAAAAAGTGATCATATATATATATATATATATATAAAGGGAGCATACCAATCTGAACCTTATTTAATTTAAATTGTGACTGTGAAACTGTAGCTAGAATGAATGTAGCACACAAAAGTGCTTGAAAACGGCTTTCATCTTTTGTTATTTGTCATTTGAATCCATTAAAGCACTACTTTTTTATATGGTATAAATGTCAAAACACTTTATTAAATTAGTACTGTGAATATAGACAATTTGAGGAATTTTTGCTTGGATCGTGTAGCAAAGTAGAAGATTGGGCTCCATTTTAAACATTCAATATTTCATATTTAATGGGACGTCCAACAATCCTCCCATCCTCTCATCGCTTGGAATCGAATTCTTAACATCCAGATTGTACCAATTATCACCACCTGAGGTAATTACATTTTCAAATGAATTTTTGTCTATATCTTTCCTACAGTACAATTTGATTTTTGTCTATATCTTTATTTTATTTCATATTTGGTTTTAATCCGAATCAAACCTGATTTTAACTGTGAATGGTGTATATAATCACATAAAAGATACATATTTAGTTTTAAATGTAAAAATAAAAATTTATGAGTTAAAAGAGGAAGAATTGTGAGTTAGCATGTATCAAGGGTCATCATAATTTATTAGTTAAAAGATTATAATTCTTATAAACTATATCTTTTGTATATATGTACAATGTAGGTTTACTTATTATTGAAGCCAAATTAAACCCAATTATTCATGCAGGATTTGACGCTTGCTTTATCTTTGGTGAGGCCTTTACCTCCCTTTGCAAATGATGTTAAACTATTGGCAGAACAAACAGCTGTTACCAACAAGAACAATGGAAGGGTATCTAAAGTCTTCATCATCAGTGAAAAAGACAATTTGGTAAATGCGGATTTTCAAAAGTGGATAATTGAGAAAACAGGTCCATATGCTGAGGTGAAAATGGTAGATTCAGATCGTATGGTGATGTTCTCCAATCCAAAAGACCTTAGCTCCGAATTATTAGAGATTGCTTACAAATATTAATCTCTAAAGTTTCATGTAATATGCACCATGAAAATAAAGAATGTTTACTACCATGTATAATAAATTTAAAGGTCTTTTCATTTTCTTTTTCAGTAATAAAACACTACATATGTACTAATAAATATGTGTTGATCCATGGAGGCCTTCATGGTGCATGGTGTTGGTATAAGGTGGCAAATCAGCTTAAATCAGCAGCTGGCCACAATGTCACAGCTCTGGACATGGCTGCTTCTGGCATCAATCCAAAGCAAATGGAAGAGATTCATAAAATTTCACAATACTATGAACCTTTGATGACATTCATGGATTCTCATTTTTATTTTTTTTAAACAAATTTACAAAAAAAAATTAAATTTCTGTTTAAATATAGTTTTACTCCTTATAGTTATCACTTAATTATAAATTAGTCTTTATACTTAAAAAAAATATATATTTTAGTTCTTATACGAGTATTTTATTATGTTTTAATTTTTATCATTATAACATTATTAACACGATTAATGACAGAGACTAAAATATAATATTTGTAAGTATAGAAATTAATTCATAGATGTGTGTCAACTCTAAGATTAAATATATAGTTTTACTTTAAATTATTTATAAATTTGTTATTGCAAATCCATGGAAACTAGAAATTTTGTTTGGATGGTGAGAAGATTTGGCTCCGTTTTGGAGAAATAATATTTCATATTGGATGGGACCAATTATGACCACTTGGAGTCGAATTGATGGCATCCAGATTGTACCAATTATCACCACCTCAGGTATACATTAAAAATTCCAGTAACACAGATTATACATCTAAAATTTAATGAGTTTAAATTTATATTTTATACTTAAAAAGCTGGTCCAAACATGATTAAAATTTAAATCACAAATCCTATGTTTAGTGGAGTTAATCGGACAAACCTATTTTATAAGTGATGTTAAATCATTGTTAGAACAAACAACAGTTACCAAGAACAAGAATGGAAGGGTATCTAAAGTATTCATCATCAGTGAAAAAGACAATTTGCAAACACAGGAATTTGAAATGTGGATAATTGAGAAATCTGGTCCATATGCTGATGTACCATGCATTATAAAAATAAATAATGTTTACATACCATTGGTATCATAAATTAGAAGGTATATGTTTCACCGAAGGTTTTTGTCTAATGTTTTAGTCGAATATGTATTTTAAATTAATTAATATAGTTTTAGTTTTGTTTTTTTTTTAACCCTTATCATTTTTAAAAGATTAAATGTTTGATTGTCATATTAAAATATGTATATTTTAATTCAAAAATTAACCTAAAAATAATTAAAATATTAACAATTAAAATCAATATTCAAAATTATTTTAATTATATTTTACTGTGTTATCCTTAAAATGAAATAAGCTGTAAGAGTGGATAGAGGAAAAAAATTTATTAATATTTTGTGAAATGTAACATCTAATATTTATATAAATAAAATCTTATCAAAAAGTATAATTTTGTAAAAGAATATGAATATTAAAATGGCCGCATAACATGACAATCATATCAAAAAGCTATTGTATTAGGAGTATCTATGAAAGAAAAATGCTAGCAACACATTTTTATCTATTAGCTAAAATTTATTAAAAATTATAGAAATACCAAAAAAATAAAATTAAGAATAAAAAAGAGTTTAAACTAATATAAATTTTATAGTTTCTAATAAATTTTAACCAATAATTAAGCCTGTATTACAAAAAGGTATTACTAGTATTCATTTTTTTACTATCATCCCTTAACAGTTTCTTTCAAAATACAAAATTGTGCAGTGACCCATTTTGATGTTTTCAATGAAACCCTTGATAACAAAAAGTTACATTAAGCTTCAAGTAATACAAATCAAGTAGAGTATAAAACTCTTAGGACCTATTTTTCTTAATCACAAAAATCAAATCCAAGACCTTACTTTCGAGGAACAAGTTTCTTATCACTTGAGGCAACAAGCTTTGGCTGGATGTTTACATTCTGAACAGATTATATCTATATTTCTTACTCCCAACATCTCATATCATCTGTTACTTTAAGATTTCAAAACTTGTCACTCAAAATATTTGTCACTTCAAGTTCTTTCCTCCATGTTTTAATCTTTTCATCATTCATTAGCAAGAAAAACAATTGTCACATGATTATCTACGTTTATTTATTGTAACTCATACGTTAAATCCACATTTACTGATCTTCTAACGTAAATCCAAACATACACTGTGTCAACCATCCCATTTAGCAAGCACAAAACATTTCCTGCATGTTTTCATCATTCATTTGCAAGATTATGTCAACCATCCCATAATTCCCAAGCACAAAAACAAAAAGGGACTCCAACTAACAAGGGAAGAACCCTTTTAGTTACATTCTTGTCATCTTAAGAACTACTCCATGGCCAGGTTCTATAACCAAATGGAAAGCAGGTGCATGGCAGTAACTTGGTGAGAGAGAGAGTTGAAACTTCATCAGAATGAGAGATAAAATCACCTTCAGTTCTGTCATGGCTAAATGCTGTCCAACGCAGACCCGTGCGCCTACTCCAAATGGTAAATAAGCTCCTGGTACCTTGCATGCCTCAAGCACCCCATTTTCAAATCTTCCTGGATTGAATATGTGAGCATCAGGACCCCAGAATTCAGGATCTTGATGCAGTAATGGAATTGGAATCTGAATATTCATTCCTTTTGGAATTAGGATACCCTTTAAACTAACATCTTGGAAAGCTGTTCTAACAGAAAATGCTGCTGGTGAATAAAGCCTTAAAGTCTCTTGAATCACCATGGTTAACTGCAAATGTAACATTTTTATACAAGGTAAGAATGCTTATAAACCTTTGAAATGATTTACTACAATTCTATTATATTCATGACTAAGACATACATATGTTGAATTCAGAAAGGCCTCTTTTAATTTATCTATGTTGCTTCTTGTTTTCAACTCTTTTTTGCATGTATTATCCATTTTAGGCCAACAAAATCTTGAGCAAGGAAATTGTATATAAAATCCTTTTGACAAAACCATTAGATATACCATGACACAGTGATCTCTCGATTTGTTTCTTCTTTTCAAGGAGATCACGGTGAATTGAAACAGGATAATATCGTAATGAATTTGTAATGAAATTTCTACAATTACAGACCCTCTTTTTAACTTACACAAAAACAGTATGAAATACATTGAATGTTATTTGTACAATGTTTCCAACAAAAATTTTATGGAATTAGATTTTCCATGTCATTTTCTATGTCCAAAATCAATATAATTAATCCAGGGGAAATAACTTCAATGTATTTCATGGAAACACTTAGCTTTAGCACATACTCTGTATAGCATACCGTTTTCATGCTCTTAAGCATACTTGCATCTGGAGCACCGTTTCCACAAACTTCAAGCACCTCAGCACGAGCACGATCTTGCCAATCTTGGTGTACAGCTAACAGCATTAAGCACCATGATGCTGTGATTGCAGTAGTCTCATGTCCAGCAAAGAATATATTTTTGCAATTATCTATCACAAACCTTTCACGTGAGATGGAATTTGAAAATAGGCCATCACTACTCTTGCAATTCTTTGCACCCTCAAGTATCATTTGTAAAAGATCCTGCTCATGAGTTTCCTCCTGGCGTTGTCTTACAATCTTTAATATCTTTGAGTGTATCTCTTTCTCCAATCTCCACATCTGTCTGTTGCTTTTGTTTGGCAAGAATCTAAAACAGATTATGACACCATTTTTCATATTAGTAGCATCACTAACAAAAACATAATATACAAATATATGATAAAGATACAAGCAAAAGGAAAACATTACAGTGGAGAACATGCGCATTACATCTCTCACAATTCATGAAAAAAAAAAAAAAACGTTCACACATACCGATAGCCTGGAATTCCAGCATGTATCTTGGACAAGAGTTTTTGAAGGTCTCTAAGCATTGAGAATATTTCTTTCCCTTCACTATAATTGCTCCCAAAACAAGCTCTGGTGATTATGTCAGCTGACAAACTTCGGAGATCTTCATCAATTTTAATCTCTAAAACTCCTCCCTCACTATCAAGTCTAGTCTCCCAAGACCTTAGTATTATATTTGTTGATTCAACTATCAGATTAACCATTGCCTTCACATGATTTACAGCAAAAAAATTATTAGATTGCTACTAAATTCAATGTTTAGGCAATATCAGGTTGATCAATGTTAATACATTCACTATTCTTTTCAACATGATTTACAGCAAGAGATAATTATCAGTTCAAGAAACAAGCAGTTGCATGTGACAGCAATATCATTACTACTGCTTATACGCCTGTCGTTTGGCTCTTGTAGAATAGTTTTCAAGATTAAAATACTTCAGCATACTAACTTTTTCTCTCTGAAGTATTCCATTTCTTTTGTGCAGGACAGGGTAGAGCATAATACACTTACCTTCACCTTATCAAGGTATAGTTCAGGAGCAATTATCTTCCTCTGATGTGCCCAAATTGGCCCACTTGATGACAATATACCTTGGCCCAAGAGTGGCCCCAAATCTTTGGATAGATATGTAGGCTTCCCTAGGTTCAAAGATGTGTGCATGATGACCTCCTTCACCATCTCTATATCTGCCACCATTAGCCACTGTATATTCCCAGAAGAAAACAAGTATATGGGCCCTGCATGTATCTAATAGAAATTAAATTTTGGACTATAAAATCACCTCAACTTACACTCAATTCTTGGGAGACTAAACTTTCCATTTAGTATTATATCAACCCTTATCAGCACTTCCTGCAAAGTATCAATTTTTCCTATGACTTTGATTATTGCAAGTGTCAACTTGTCATTGGAACACAAAACACCATTCCACCCATTCTCATAAAGAAAGTTACAGCGATGACAAATTTCTTCTCTTGAGAATTGAGAATCCGATTCTTTCTGCCTAAAATTGAGAATGCCACTACTGAAACCATTTCAAATTTGGCATCTGAATCTAAATCACAATGCTATGGAATCTGAAATTGGGTCTACCCATAGAACATCTCTGTCAACTTTATCAGATCAAAGAACACAAATGAGTTCATAATAGACCATCACCAAACTAAATTCATAAACTCAGAACACATGAAAGAACTCAAAACCCCCCAAATGAAAACATCAAGTGTGTGCTTTCATTTTGCATTTATAACATTTTATAATCAAAATATCGCCAGAAAACTCTTTAAAAAGTACTGTTTTAATTTATTAAAAACCACACATGAACTAAATAAAAAGAACAGTGAGTGATTGTTGATTGATTTCTCAACATGTTCATAAGAGAGTACAAAGTAACTGACCATATTTTTGGATCCACTTTTGGACGTGAGGGAACAAAGTGAAGGGCCATGTATGAGAAATAGAAACATGTTTGTCTTGGACTTGTATGGTTGGTGCTGACTGAACTTGAAGCAAAAGGGTCTTCATTTCTGGGATGTTGCCAAAGTAGAAGTGAGGTGAAGGACCATGAATCCCTTGCCTCTGAAGCTTTGCTCTCAGTGATCTTGGCCTCAACACCAACACTTTGAATACATGCATCAACACCACCAACACTGCTCCCAGCACAACATGCAGTGTGTTCATCTTCAACACTTGCATCTTCCTCTCCCTTCGCACTACAGCACAAAGTCCCCCTGACTCAAATTGAAGTTTATTGGTGGTTGAAAAGGTGAAAGCTCCATCATCTAAAAGCGTAGTATATTTCAATAAACTATTAAATAAATAAATAAATATTTTAAGGATAAAAGAAAAACATGAATGTAGTAATAATAGAAGATAATCATTTCATATGATAGAAATAGAAGATAAATACAAAATTTTAAATTCAAAGCCAAGATAATATTGCAGGTTATTTATTCAATGTCATTTGAAAGATTGATCTTTAATATTTTTATGTGTAAATTATTTAAATCAAATTTTTGATTTATTTTTAGCGAATACTATAGCTATTTCCACAATTAACAGTAGAAGATTATTCCTCTCAAAACGTGAATATTATTGATGAGTTTTATTTCTCTAATTTTAATTAGAAAATAATATAAAAAATATTCATAGTACTCAACATAGGTTTTTTCTTCTTCTGGTCCTCCACGAGTTCTCCTTGGCAAGTATGGTCACTGTGATGAGTCAAACAATGACTTCAAAGTTATAGATTCAAACCCATTTCATACCTAGTTTCCAACATACGCAACTTGCTAAACCAATCCCTGTTGTCTATAAGGACATGAATGAAAATCATGGCTACTTAAAAATGTTACATTTTGATTTGCTCACGAGCATTAATCACTTGCACTTATAAAACTTACTATATCGATACGTCTCTGTCTCTATGCACTGTCAACAACATATGAATCTCCCCGTAATAAAAGCTCTCATGGAATCTTCATATAACGTGGATTCATAAACGTGCTACAAGTTGTAAACTTCAGCAATATAGATTGATAGATTAGTAAACAGTAAATGACCGAAAGAAAAACAAAACACGTGTGTTTATAAAGATGGCGATAACTTTACATCACACAACATTTTTCGAAGAACCTAGTATCCCAATCTTGATTTTCACAAACAAAAACTCTTTTGCTTGCATCATTAATGCATTATAAAATAATCATTTTTTAATCAATACAGAACTTCACGACACCGGTAATAATAATAATAATAAAATTATTATTATTATTATTATTATGTATGAACAAATAAAAGTATATTCATTTTAATTTACAGTACATCGCACTAAAATTCAAAGACATAAATTTGAGAAAATATAACTTTAAGAGGCATTTACTAAAAAAAAGCAGATAAATATACTGGAAAAAAACATGGTTAACCACACAATTTCATTTTAAATTAAAAAAAAAAAAAAAAAAAAAAAACTCAAGTAAAAACGCCTACATGAGCACCACAAAAACAATATTTCCAGAAAGTCAGTCCATCCACATCCAGACTATGAGAGGTTTTCTCGTATCACTCTATGAGAGAAAGAAGGCTCAAAATTAACATATACCAAAAGATGGTTTATATAAATATAGATAATGATAACTGAGAAGACCCTGCAGTTATTGCTATGCTACACTTTATTTATTCTCATCAAGAACATCTAAAGTTTGGCACAAAATGTCAGCTGCTTGCTCAAGCTCCTTCTCTGTTATGATCAATGGCGGAACAAGTCTGACAACGTTTCCTTTTCCAGCAGTTAATACCAAAAGGCCAGAATTTCGGCATGCATCTACCATGGGTGCAGCGGAGACATCTAAATCAATTCCTACAATTAGCCCAAGACCACGGATTTCTTTCACATGCCGGTTCCCTCCTAACTTCTGCTTAAGTAGTTCTTTGAAGTAGAGGCCTTTCTTTGCTACAGATGACAAGAAATCAGGTTTTGATATTTTATCCAAAACAGCAAGAGCAGCATTGCAAACAAGCGGATTTCCTGCGAAAGTGCTTCCATGATCGCCATAGTTTATAGCAGAAGCAACTCTCTCAGTCACTAGGACTGCTCCAATAGGTAGGCCTCCAGCAAGAGGCTTTGCGAGGGTCATCATATCTGGGAAGACACCATATGCCTCATGGGCCCAAAGAAACCCTGATCTACCTAAGCCACATTGAACCTACAAATCATAGAAATAATATTAATACCCAAATGGAATAATTAAATATATGTTATAAATAGGACAGCTATACTTTGTCATTCAATGAAATAAGAAATTTCAGTAGATTTACAATAAGGTCACAGTATTAGATGATTTCATTCTGCTTTGTACCATTCAATCAATCAACCAACAATGATAAAAAGGCATAGTTAAACTAACCAATCATTTCAAGTGACAATGTTATTTTGAGTAAGATATTAAACAATCTTTTCCAAAGCTTCTTAATGCAACTGAAAAAATATTTAAAAGTGAAAACTAATTGTGTCTTTGCCTTTTACATACGGAAATTTCTGTTTCAAAAAATTAACTAACACAAGGCATTTGCAAACAACTATACAAATATTGTTGCATATCAGTGTTAGATAGCGGATACCTCATCAAACACAAGAAGTGCCCCAGCTTCATCACAAGCATTACGCAGAGACTGTAGAAATTCTTTTGTAGCACTATAAATTCCGCCTTCCCCTTGGATGGGTTCTACAAAAACTGCAGCAATGTTGCACTGCTTTATTAATTCTATTGCAGCCTGCGCATTTCCATACTCTACAAAGGTCACCCCAGGCATAACAGGTTCAAAAGGTGTTCTGTATTGCACTTTACTTGTCAAAGCAAGTGCACCCAAGGTTCTTCCATGAAAGCAGTTACTGAAAGCCATAAACTCTGTTGCTGGAACTTTCTCATCAGTAGTTGTGTGTCTCTGGTACTTTCTTGCAAATTTAATAGCTGCTTCATTTGCCTCAGTTCCAGAATTTGTAAAAAATACACGATCAGCAAAAGAAGCATGCACAAGACGCTTTGCAAGTTCTACCTGCATCAATCCAGACTAATTATAGAAACACATAAAGATATACTGCAACACTGTTCAGACGCAACATGCGGTTACAAGATATGAGCTAAAGTACAATGAAGCAACTATAAACAACAACAAAAGCCTTATCTAGAGTTCTAGAAAAACTAGAGTTTATAGAATTACAAAATGCACTTTAAGGTTTAGTAAACCTGGATAACAACAGTTGAGTTTCTCTTTGTTGAGAGAACGGTTCAGTATAAAACAAGTCTTCAATGCTGGAAATTTTCTTTTCTCAGAAGCTATGATAGATTACCTTTAAAGAGAACATGTTCCATGATCAAGTCTAAAATTTTCTTAGTATTCACTTTGTTAAATATCCTGACTCATCTATACCTTTCTCAAAACAACAGTTAAGGGTACAAAAATTTCAATCTTCTCCCTTGTCAATATAAGTTCGGTAATATTAATCCAGAATCTGCATTGAAGAAAAAACAAAGAGTTGACATACACCAGATCAAGGCAACATAAAGTAAGAGGATATAGTAAAGCTCATAATTTAATAACCATTCACACTTCCGATGATCCAACCCTGACATTGAAAACCAAGTTCTCTTGAAAGCATTTATAAAATTAAGCATACCTAAACAAATCAAAGAAATCCCAAACAAGCCAAAATTATGTAAGTTTGAATAATTTATAACAAACAAGTAAAAACTCAAACAGAAAAACAATAGCATGCCCAAACCTGAGGTATTGTGTAGAAAATATTGCTGGTATGAGTGAGGGTGCCAGCTTGCTCTATAACAGCTTTCAACCAGTCTGCATCCCCATGCCCTAATGCATTGACAGCAATCCCAGAACTCAAATCTAAATATTCTCTCCCTTCAACATCATACACCTTACAACCTTCTCCTCGCTCAAGCACCACCGGTGTTCTTGCATATGTGCCCACTAAAAACTTCCCTTCATTCTCAATCACAGCTTTAGTTTTCTCCAATGCTATCTTCCTAGCACTAGGTGCATTAACATCCACATTAAGACACGCACTCACACTCAAAGCACTCCGCGAATTCATTTGAACAACTGAATATCCACCTGTTAAAGCTCTCCCTCTCTCCAAATCAAAAGATTGACTTGGCTTATAACATGATTGACAAACGTGAACAGTACTCATTGTATTCAATTCTCCCCCTTTTCGTCTATGCTGAAAACAAAAGAAAGGCATGAACAAACAGCTTGCCATATAGTTCAGACTTCAAACATTCCATTTGAAGCAAAAGTTTTCAGGTTACCAACACTCATTGAAATAAAACCGATATACATTGTAAGTTTAAAAGGCCTTGTATAACTTGCAGAGAAGAAAGAGCAAAAACACATAAAAACAAAATCAAGATTTAGAAACATCAACAATGAAATTCAAATGCATGACAATGTTGGCCAGCAAACGAACCACAAAGCTCCACATAAAACCTTTACTTGGTTTGATTCCCCCAAAGCTACCATTCTACAGTCTATGATAAATTTTTACCCATATAATTAGTTTACAAGAAATTGAAACTGTGATGCAGTTTTCCATGCAAAACTACACTCACTAAACTCAACAAAGTAACAAACTTTTGGTACTTGAGAAACTGTCAATCTATTTTAAATTTTCAGCTTGCGGGTATCAAACACCTCTTCCCTAAACGCAATTTTGAAACACCCCTTTGCCCCAAAAATCAAAAAGAGCATAAACATACCTTTCTTCGTGCACGTTCCCAACTTGTAACGCGTGGTCTTGGGTGAGGGGAGATACAAGGCTATTAGCTATATGTAAGAGACGAATTAACCTAAAACCAGAGGAGGGCTAAAACAGCTTCCTGTGATCTATTTTTAAAACAGCTTTATGTTTTTAAAACTAAATTCTAATATAATATCAAACATATTTTTAAAATCTTTAATATTTGAAATTTTTATGAATAGTAGATAGGAAACTGAATTGACTAATAATCAATTTTATCTTAACAAAATTAGAAAAAAAATTCAAAAGGTAAAACAAACAAAAAAATAGTTGATAAAATTTTAAATTGTAATTACTTACAAATATGGTCAGATTTTAAAATGTTTATAAAAAAAATTTTGTTTAAAATATACAAACAAAAAGATTATAATTAAATAAATTTTTATTTTAAAAAAATAATTCACCATATAAACTTTAGTATTAAATCGATAATAAAATTTAGTATCAAATAGATGTGTAAACAATAATCAATTTATTTTTTTAACTTTATAAAATTACATATTTTTCTTATTTGAAAAATTATTAATTTTAATTTTTTAAATTTATTTTTTATTATCATTTTTATTAAAATAATTAAAATAATGTCCTTTTATAAAATTAAATAATTTACACTTATATAAAAAATTAAAATAAATATTTACTTAATACTATTTGATAAATAAATAATAATATTATGAGTAATTTTATTAACATCAACTTTTAAATTTAAATTTAAATATTAAAAATAACTCATTTATTATTAAAAATTATAAAAATATAATAAATTTTTTAATTAAAATTTTATTATTATTAAGAATTATTATTTAAATTCAACTTTAAATTTTAAATTTGATATTTTTTATTATTAAAATATTAGAAACGCTTTGATAAAATATGCAATAGATGTCTGGTACTGTTTAATGAACAAGGTATACTAATTTTAAAATAATACAAAAACTCAATACAGCAGAATACTGTAGACATAGGGTGGGGTGGACGGTGATGTTGACAGGAGCACGTGGAACAAGGTTTAAATTTTTTGTTTAAGAAAATACCCAATATTAATAATTGTTCACAAGAAGTGATTATAAAAAAAATATTATTAAAACATTTTCATCATAATTTTTAATGTAATTATACTGTGAGTTTTAATAAATTTTCTTATTTATTAATTCTTTATGATATGTGTGGTGAATAGAGTTTAATATAAAAGAAAAATAAAATTGTAATAGAAAAAAGATAAAATTTTTATTTTTAATTTATTTTCTAACAAAAATAAAAATTTAATATAAATTTTATATATTAATTATTTATTTATTTTTAATTTTTAATTCAAAATAGAAAATTATCAATTTTTTGACTTCTAAACATATCTTCAATGTTGCTTTTTCAATAAGTTAACAGGATGCTCAAGAAATATGTTTTTCTTTTTGTTTCTTTTTTTTTTAATTTTATAGAAAGTTACTTTAAAAATTTAACGTATTTTGTTTTATTTGACAAAATGTCAAATTTTTATTGATAATGATTTTTTTTAATTTTTTTTATTAATAACTTTTTATTGACAATAAATTTTGTAAATTCAATTGTTAAATTAAAATTTTTATTAAATAAATTAAATTTATAAAATTTAATTTAATTTAAAAATTATTTAACACTTTATCAATCTTTTTCATTTTAATAAATATTATATTTTTATAATATAAATAAATATTAATATAAAATAATATACTCGGATATTAAACTCAAATTATTTTGAACAATTCTTTTTTAAAACATGATAGAAGGTATCAGATAATTCCTATTTGTACTTAATTATGATATGTTAGTTATGATATTTTACTTAGATAGGCTAAGCAAGTTAAAAGTGTAGAAGAAATAAGATATTACATTATTACTAGTCATTTGTGTGGAAGGATTATGACTTTTAGCCATTGAAAATTAATAAGGTCTCTTGAATACCTAAGTTGCACAAAAGAATAATACAATATTTATAGAAATTAGTACAATAAAGAAACAAAACACAATCAACTTACATGTTTATTATATCTCACTATATTTATATCAATTTATTTTACAATTTAAAAGAAAATTTTCTCTATTAAAATATTGTTTATAATAAACTATAATTTTTAAGAATTTAAAATAAGTCATTTTAATTTTAATACACCTAAACATTGTTAAATTAAATATTTTGTTTAGATTGAATTAAAATGTTTTCAAATAATTATTTTATAAAACAAATATTCTTTTTATAAAAATGCTAGAATGTTCTTATACAATTTTGATGAAGATTAACTTTAAATCTGGATATAAACTCAAAATTTCATAGAAAAATTATTGTCGTTTACAAATTTCGCTTAGTGGCTTTGTCCATAATCAAAATATCACCTTACAAATTATAACAACAAAATTTTAAGTCCATTGTTAACTTTGACCCAAAAAAAGTTATTTTGATACGACACTCCTTATCAATTCTCCCAAACCTTTACCACCAATAAAAATAACGAAGAAGATAAAGGATCGTCTTATTTGAGACATCTACCATTCGTCACTTCCTCCATTGGGCTCCCATTAATTAGATCATAAATGACCACCATAAATACAAGTCAACATCTATATTATACACTTCTCTCTAAAGCTAAACTTTCTTAACATATATAACTTATATTCCAATCCACTAAATTATATGCTTTCTTATAATCTACTTTCAATACTAATCACTTCTTTTTACTCTTTTTAGCATAATTCATCACCTCGTTAACAACAAGTATATGATTTAACATGTTTCTCCCTAATATAAATGTTGATTGTTGCTCATTTATTACATTCATTAACACACCCCGTATTATATTTGCAATCACCTTTGAAATAATTGTATAAAGACACTATAATAAAGAGATAAGTCTATACTCACTTAACTCTTAGGACTCTTTGTCTTTGGAATGAGTGATTCAAATTAAGAAAGCAACCATTTGCATTACCTCACCCCTCACTAAGTCCCAAAACAATTTTACAAATATGAAATTGAATCTATCAAGATCCAAACTCTTGTCCATTTGCACTCCCTTATCATACTTGACACTTTTTCCATCGTAAAAGCATTCTCCAATTCCTCCCTCTGATCCTCTAACATGCTTGGCATATTATATTGTCAATTGTTGGTTTATCTCATTCATGAGCAACATATTGATCATGGAAAAAATTTAAAATATAAAATTTTACCTCGTTTATATCAATGTTTTTTCCATTTCTCATTTTTCCCTATTTTTTAGTGTTTTCTTTTTTTGTTTTCATCATTCTAGTAGAAGTGGAAATTTTGAAAATCTTTAGAATTTTGAATTTGATAAATCTCAAAAAGTTATATAAAATAGGTATATAATTTGTAAAAATCAAAGTTTTGTATCGAAAGTTATACCCTTTCAAAATTTTAAAAATTACAAACACGGACTTTTCTTAAGTTTCTACAACTTCTTGGAACAAAGAGCAAACATGACATGAATGAATAGGTATATCAATAGTTTTATCTTACTTCATTTTGTGTTTTCTTCCTTATTGTTAAACGATATTGACGAACAAGGATATCAATGGTTTTATCTTACTTCATTCTGTGTTTACTTCCTTATTATTAAATGATATTGATGAACATTGCAGTTTAACGATGAAACAATAAACATGACAAACCCGATGAAACGATGAACATGATGAAGAGAAACATAACTTTTAATTTAAATAGTGTTTTAAATCTTGAGACAAACACTAAATTGTCAGAGAAGAGAAATATTGACGCCATTGACAAATATGAACAAGACTAGAAGAATATTTTCTACATCGGTTATTATAAAAGACAGATGTAAAAAGTTTTAGATTTTCTATATAGCCTGTTTCTACATTAGTTGTAGAACTGACATAAAATATCTTTTTTAATTCATGTACAATATCTTTTTTCTACTACTGCTTTCTCTTTTACAATTTCTTTTTCTAATATTGTGTTGCATCAAACTCGCTTAAAAGTATTATTATGCATTAAATACAAAAAGGGACATGAACTAAATTTTAGGACGTAAGATTTATCATTTTGTTATTCTTTCTTCTTCTTCTTTTCAGTTCAAAGTTATCATGTTGTTTAAGTAACGTCATACAGTAGTCCAGTTTAATTTTTACTGGACTAAACCCTTGTTTTGGTACTTGAAATAGTAAGTGTCAGACATTTTAGTCTCTGAAATTTTAAAAATGTCATGTCCTTAACTTTCATCTCCGTCGGGCATTTAAGTCTCTAGACCTAGATATTGTTAATAGATAATAACAGAATGTTAACATGTTACGTTAAGTAACATGTGTGATTAATTGCGTGGCAAAAATGGCGTTGTATATGGTATGATATATATTTTCATTTTATTTTATCCTAAAATTTTAAAAGTATCAAATTAATCCCTAACTTCCATATCAGTCGGACATTTAAGTCCCTCGACCTAGACAATAGATAATAATAGAATACTAACATGTCACGTTAAGTAACATATATGATTAATTATATGGCAAGAATGACATCGTATGTGATATGATATATAATTTTATTTCATTTTATTCCTTAAGATTATCACGTGTTGGATATTTTAATCCTTGCTCTTAAAACCTTTCAATTATTCATCTTTCTTCTTCATTCTCCTAAAAACTACCCTTCTCACTATAATCATTATCCATCTCTTTCTCCCTCTCTCTTTCTTATTTTCAGGTGTCCAATACTTTCTTTAAATTAGATCCATAAGAACTACAGGACACATACATTACAGTCAAACATACTTAGGCTATGGGAGCAAAATAGTAAAATAAGACCATCGAAAGTTTAATTTTTTAAAAATTAAAAGGTTATTTTACAAAAATAAAGTAATTTACACTTCTATAAGAAGTTAAAATAAATATTTACTGAATACTATTTAATAAATAAATAATAATATTATTATGAGAAATTTTATTAATATCAAATTTTAAATTTTAAAAAATAACTCATTTATTATTGAAAATTATAAAAATATAATAAATATTTTTATGCTTAATTATTTTCTTGATCTTCGTAAAGTTAGTAAATTTTGTAATAAGTCCTTAT